GCGCAATGGCAGTTCCGGCAGCCTGGCTGGGTGCAGTTTATTTTTCGTGAAGAAAGAGCCAAGAACCTGCCACCTCCACACAGACAGCAGGAAGGCATGCACAATGGGGAGAGGAGGGTTCAGGCACATGGAAACACTTGGAAATCACTGTCAGATGCACATGCACACACATCCATCCATGCTCCATCCTGAAATAATGTACTCCGTCAATACTCATGCAAACATCCAGGAAGAGAGAGCAGCCCAAATCCCCTCTCCTGCATCCATGCCAATGTTGCCTTCCTCTCCTGCCTCAGACCAGTTTGGCCCACTCACATGCTGGACCAGAAAGGGAAAAATTAGGATGTCAGGCCCTGCCTCCAGGGACATATGGTCTGTGCCCTTGGTCATTCAATTTTTAGTGTAAAAGCTGGAGCGAGCAGTGCAGAAGGCTTTGAAGACAGCAGCCTAGCTCACCACATGGTAGTAGCCAACATCCCTTGCCCAAGCGGTGCAAAGAAAACAGCATATTTTGGCATCAGCTCTTGAGTAAAGCCTCCTAAGATATTTTTGACAGTCCAACTTGAATTCAAGTCATGTTGCTACGAGAGCATAATTTTCAATTAGTTTGAAATCAGATTCTCCGTTTGCGTTTTTTGGTCTCTGACAGCATTCTCTAAAGGAAGAAAGCATGTCCCTGGCATGTCGCTGGCCAGCCAGAGTCTACTTTACTTCTGTAGAAATAGGTTTCTTCTTTCCTTGTGTCTGATGCAGGTTGGAACGGGAGAAAATTAGCCTTCCACACCTGTTGTATTAGGCAACAGGCTCAAATACATTCCCGGAGTGGGGTGTATTACAGAAATGGCAGCCACGTTTCCCCCGTAGCTAATTTGATTCGGCTTGGCTGGCAAAGGGTCTGCACAGCACACAAAAGCTGGGGTACAAAGATCGTGCTGACGCAGATGGAGGGGAGAATCTGGCAGCGGTGGGAGAGCAGAGCGTGAGGGAGAGGCGGCAGCGGTACGCAGGAGTGTCACCAGCTGTAGGCCTTGAACGTGCGTGGTAGGCTGGATTCCTCCCAGGTAGGCACGCACAGCGAGGTGTCACCCTGCCTTGTCCAAATAAACAGCTACTGGGCATGCAGGGGAGGGGAACTCAAGCTGCATGTCCAAATGCTGCCCTCTGTGGAAAGTTGTGACTGGGGCAGATGGGCTTGGGTAAATGTTGGGCCCTTAACCTTACACCACGTCCACATCCGCGTCGGGGTAGGTGAGTGCCTTCAGGTCTCCGAAGTGGACTCACCTGGGACTGGCCAGCATCTGTTTGAAGGAAATGCCCTGAGCAAGGTTGCTGGTGTTGGGGTTTGCGGCATTGCTTTAGTTTGAAAGCAGCCCAAAAGGGGATGTCTGGATGAAATGGCTGCTTGGCATTTAGGGGGTGGTTATGGGGAGACCCTCTTGGGGTCACTTCAGGGCTGTGAATTTGCTCCTTTGGCTTTTAGCCGAAAGTAGCGTTCCTCCACGTTAGGAGTCAAATCGGAGAGCCTTCCATGGGGCTGCTTCCCAGACAGGGTGCTGCGGTGTTTCCCAGGCTCTGCAGCTAACGAGCTGCCATTTTCTGACAGGGAAAACGTGGCGGTGGCAGATACGGAGTCGGGGGGGACCCCGCAGAGCTTTTAAAGCCCTTGGCTGTGGCAGCCAGACCCCAGCCTCAGCGGGAGGCGGGAGCCAAGGGACAAAGAGGGAAAGACGAGCGCGTGCACGCCTGTGCGCCCGGCGGTGCGTGTGCGCGTGCCCGCGTGTGCTCTTAAGTGTGTGTGTGGGGGGATTGTGTGCACGCGCGTGTGCCCGGCGGTGCCTGGACGTGCGTGGGTACCGGCGGGCACGCACGTGTGCCCTGCAGCGCGCGCGTGACCTGGAGGGGGTACCGGCGGGG